CTACTACTACTGTGACGGGCCGAGTTCTTCTCATTTTATAATCTACCATCCAGATATTATTTTCTGTTATTATTCTTCCTTTCTTTATTTATAAATACACTTTATATTCCTATACAAGTAATTCTCTTCTCAGTTATGTATGTTCTTTATATTAAACTCTCATGATGTATATATTTAATAATTTCTATGCTGTGTCGTTAGTTCCACAATGTACATACATGTCTTATCTTTCTTTTCTTGTACTTTCCAAGTCTTTCATTTCTTTCATGTATATTATATTTACTCAGTTTCAAAGTTCTTACCTTTCTGAAGTATACTCTGTTTTACGTCTATTCATATACATGGGTTAGTCTGGGAACCATGTTATTCTCAGGGCACTTATTATACTTACAAATAGGCTGCCACCACCAGACTTTTGAGTTAGAAGATAACATAACTCATGGAAAGTTTTTGGGTAGTATGGTAGATGTATAGGCACGTGAGTAAGTATTATTTTCTGGGAACCAATGTTTAGAAGGAGTAGAGTGGTGATACTCATAGATTACTAATTCAATATTTATTAACACAGTGAGAGGATAAGATGCATCTTAGATTCACTCAGACAAAACAGAACCGCAATTAACTTATTAAGTCATCAAACACTTCAAGAACTTATTACCTCATTAAACACCTCCAAATACTTATTACTTCATTAGACAATTGTGGTATTATTACCTTGACAAATGAGATTCCGTAATTATTATTCACAAGATATCACTGTACCCTCAGGTCTTACTTTAACAAGTAACAAATTACCTCTTCAATTCTTGGTGAGAACATTATACTCTCAGGTTATTCTTTCATGGTCACTACCGACGAATACAGTACATAACACACTGGACAACTCCACAATTATAGTAACATACAATACCTCCTGTTAGTTCGCAAGGAACAACCTGGTACCTTTAACTCTCATTCAGTGGTTCAATACTTAACCTGGGATGACTATATTTCTCCTAGTCATCTCCAAGCATGGATATTAATACGGCTCCATACATATAACCAAGAACAGTAGATAGACCATGATCATACGACGGAGTCAGTGGGCCAAAGTTGTTTACAGGCTCACTCGCTCGCTAGCTTTGAGCGCCTGGCCCGGGAAAGGTTGACTCGTGGCGGTGGGTCGTGGCGTCTGCCAAGGAATCTCGCCCTGGGATTCTAATCTCGCCACCTTAAAGACATCCTTCGAGAGACATCGTGCCCATAGGCGGCTCCCGAACTTGAGGAGTGTTGCTAACCCCCACAACAGCGTCTGGAGACTTGGAGAAAAAATCACAGAGGGAGTGAATATTTAACTTCACTATACAAAACATACGTCTGGCACCGGTCCAGACGATAGCTAGATCTCTACTTTACTCGACTCAATTGGCACGGAAGTTACTATGTTAAAATATGAACACTGATATTCACAAAATTGACTAAGTGAAACTGAATTAATATGGCGGCGTGGAACACACGTGAACATACCTGGAGACGTGGAGAAGAAATCACAGAGGGAGTGATTTTCCCTCCAGCGCCGGCATATATACGGGCCTACGGGCATATCCCTTCTAGAAAGACTAATTTTACTAACAATAGGCCCTCTATTCAAAGTAATTGTTGGACACCTAGCTGTGACCGTCATTGTCACAGATCAGGCTAATTTTCTACATCTATATTTATGATTTAATCAGAGATTGAGTTTGTCAGTAAAGAGGTGAAATGGAGTTATATATGTGTTCGCAACTCTATTGGCCTGACATGTCTGTACAATTATTTGATATTGACAGACTAATGAGCATTAGCTATTAGCTTGTATTTTGCTTATAAAATTAGAGAGAGGTACAGCCTGGAGATATGGTCTCATGACACGACTTTAGGCTATCATGTCGGGCTGTGAACTGGGGGAACTAGCTGTACTGTAGTGGCTCCTCTCCCCTACAACTTCCAACTGAGCTCCGGCCGAGCGCCGACCAGCCAATCAGCGTACAGCAATACAACACAATACAAAAATGCTAGTGACAGGGGGGAAGGAGGTTCAGGGGAAGAATAAAGGGAGGATTGAAGTGAATTTTAGGAGGAGAGAACAGATGCAGTGGCTAAACACCGCTTGCGTGAGGGATTATAAGATGGAGGCTAAGCGTAATATGAATCATTTGATTTTGGCGTTAACTGACGTGTATGACCGTGGTCGTTACAACATTACTCTGTTCTTAAAGGGCTGTCTAATTAAAATTTTGAAAGGAGAAATTTGAGCTTTAGCATTGTTCTTTGGTTTTCATTTATGTACAGTACAGTAATAGCTCTGTTAGAAGGAATCCCTCTTGACTGGAACTCTCCGATAGCTGGAATTGAAATTCTCTCGGAAAATCATTTCCAAAGCCAAAATTTTCCAGAAAATTCCGGCTTTGGGAAAGATTTTTCAGGGGGCACATTTTCTGGAAAATTCTGAGAAAATTCTGGTACCCAGAAAATTCTGAGGTGGGGGGTATTTTTCCGGGTTCGAGAGATGTTGTAATGTGCAATTTCTGAAACTTTCGAGAAAATTTCTCCGTTACCCGGAAAATTTCGGGGACGAGGGATTTTTTCTGGCTTTGAGAGTCGCCTCGTTACCCGGAAATCTCTCATTCCCGGAAGTGCTCTACACGAATTATTCCAGCTAGTGGAGATACCACTGTATCCGTGGATTGGTTATGATCAAAATTAATAAAAAAGTAAATGTAATTTTTTTTTTTAAATAACTCGGCCAACTGCAGTTATGGCAATTATCACCATCTTTTATCATATGGTAATTAATTTCTTACAGTCAAGCTTTGAGAATTTAGAACTATTATTTTTTATTTTAGGTGAAGAAAAAAAGAATTTCCATTGAATTTTTTTTTTAACTATGATTTTGAAGTTGGCTACAACTACAACTAGTCTTCATGTTCCCTGTAGATGTTGCTAACAGTGATGGAATATGTTGAAGTACTGGTAGAAGTAGCTGCCGTCCAACTCTGGGGAGAAATGGGCCGCTGGGCAGTGGTCACTATTATCCAGCTTGCCAAGTAAGCATTATGTTCTGCACATTATAATTATTCATAAAAATATGATGTTGCTACTAACTTCTTTTTGTGATGATAGTTGAAGAATCAACTGAATGATGAAGAGATTTGAATTTTATGATGTATTGAAATAAAATTGTCTTTCAGGTGTATTGGACGCTTTATATTGTTATTAAGGTACAAAACATCTATAGTGTCATCACCCCCTGTTAAGCCATTGGACAGGAGAGCTGCCATTAAAACAAAACAGGAGCGACTTCTGTGTTCAACTCCTGGATCAAGTCCAGGTACAGTAACACCAAATACAGAACTTTATTTCACAATTCAAGTAATATTTTACATGCAATAGGACCTCTTTCCAAAATGACTGGCACTATGAGTGTTTCAGATGAAGAATATTGTATACAGTGATCCCTCGGTTAACGAACGCCTCGGTTAGCGAAATTTCGGTTAACGAATTCCATATGAATTTTTCCCTACATGTTTTTGCCTGCTTTCGCCTGCTCACCAGCTGTAGTATTATTCCGCCAATACAGTAATCGGTTTTAGGGCATAAATTCGTTACCATTTGAGTAAATATCAAGAAGGTTGTACTATTCAATAATTTTCCAAGTCTTATATTAAAGTTTTTAGTAATTTTAACTATTATTTAACATAATTGAAGTGCAGAGAACTAGTTTTTAGTGCGCCAAACAGCCACTTGACTCACCCAAAATGGCGTCAGTGTGTGTCCCTGCTCAGTGGAGGAAGCATCTTGCTTGAGACTCTTGTACATAAACTATTTATATGTTTTTACAGTACAATTATTAGTCATTCTGAAGTTTATTTTACATATTGACAATATATAATGCAGTGCAGTGTTGATTTAAAGAAAATAGTCTTGAATTACACCAAGTGAACTAAAATTTTATGGTGAAATGGCGACATGGGGTGACTTCTCTTCCACCCCAATGCCTTCTCTTCTCCCTTCTCCTCCACCCCCATTCTAATTCCCATCATCATCATCAAACAGGAGCCTTCTACATGCACACCTCAAAGTAAGTGTACTATACTGCATTTATTTTTAGTTTGTATGTAATTTTCGGTGAGCTGGAACCAATTACCCAAAAACCCATTGAAACAATGGTTTCGGTTAACAAAATTTTCGATTAACGAACGACCTGCTGGAACGAATTGTGTTCGTTAACCGAGGGACCACTGTAATTGAGTCTTTTATAAATTCTCTCTCTCTCTCTTGGAGACCCATAATTGTTAGAAAAAATTTATATAAATACAGTGACCCCTCCGTTAACGAACTCAATCCGTTCCAGAAGGTCGTTCGTTAACTGAAAAGTTGGTACCAGTCACCACATAACATTATCCTTCAGATTTAACTGTTACTTGGTTCATGATAAAACCAGGTCCAGGTTCAAATATTACAAATGAAATTACAACTGGATGAGGGAGGAGATGAGTATACACAGGCCTGAATTACCATTCGGTTGAGAAATATATACCCAAGACCAAACCCAGTGCCTCCAGGAATACAATGAGGAGACTGCTACAAATGAACCATGAGACGTGAAATGGTCTGTTTACTAGCGATAAGCTGATGGGAAGGGGGTGATATGTTTGACAGTTGATGCCAAAGTCTAGTGCTTATTTATTTATCTGTCCTTAAGAGTGACTAAGTTTTTCTCTCATAAAATGTCACTGAACTGACATGTTCTAATTAATTTTATTACAAAAGGCAAATTTTTTATCTCTTGTGCAAAATATATGATGTTTATGTTCAAATTATTCTCTGTCTTGCAAGGTTTCTAGCAATGCAAATTTTATTCTCCTAACTTTAGTCTGTGATATTATATAAGATGAAAACTGTAATCCTATAACCACCCAATCCTGGCTGGGAAGATGGGGGGGGGGGGACACGTTTGACAGTTGGCGAAGGTCTAGTGAATTATTTATTTGTTTATTTATGTCCTTTTGATTGAGTTTCTGTTTTTTGTTTATAAAATGTCACAGAAGTGACCTGGGAGAATATAATTTACATTGCTGGAATTCTTATAAGATAGTGATTAATTTGAATATAATCATGCTATAGTTTGCACTGGACAAAAATTTTAGTAATCATTTAGTACATTATTTTGAGTACATGTACAGTATAGCTTTGCCTTTAGGATAGTGTAGCGTGCCCAGAGAAACATTAGGCACGAATTTTAAAATATGATGCGCCAGATTACTCGCTCAAAATAGGAAAGATTCGCTTTAAATTAAACCATTGTCCTTAATTGTGGGTGTCGCTTTAAATCATATACAATAAAGCCTCGAAAAACGACGTTAATGTGTCCTCCAATATTGCAGTGTAAGGTGAATTGTCTTTTCATGAATCATTAACTACCATTAAAATATAGCAATAATAACGAGATGCGTTCCAAAGTGTGACCTCTTCATATTATTGTGTTGCTTTTTACCCTCTTCCCCCCCAAACAATACAATTAATGAAAAGTGCAAACTATATTCTGTAAATAATGTTTATGAATGCACCTTATACAATATGATTGAATAATAATATGGTCACACAAGAGGAGATGGGACGCCATTGTTTTCGTTTGTGTTTATAGCCGGGAGTCCGGGACAATAGTTCTACACGAGAAAATGAAGAAAATAAGACCCTGGTTGTAGCTGTACTAAAATGAATGTAAAAAAATTAATATACTGTATATGTTTTAACAAATGTTATTTAATGTTAATAAATGGAAAAATAGAAGTAACTAACCACTAATGGCAAAGAAAACAAATAGAGATGGATTGGGAACGCCAACATATACGTGCGCATGTAAGGATACTGCGTCATTTATCTTTTTAAGAAATGTACAATAGGTTCATTATTGTTTATTACTGAATATGTATTTGATTGAATTAATCTTTATACAGTCATCCCTTGGTTATCACGCCTAATTGGGACCGCGCCGAGTGCGTGATAACGAAAAACGCGATAACGAAAGTACAGAACCTATGGGATTTATTCTAATTGGTTCCAGGCACCCAAGACCCAACCCCAATTTTCCCATTTTATGACCATTTACACCAAGGGTGTCAAACTAATGGCCCGCGGGCTAAATGTGGCCCTTGGGATGGTCAGGTGTGGCTCACGGAATGACGGTAAAATTTATCATCCCATGAAATTATGAAAGAAATAGATATAATTATGTTTATTTAGTAAAATGAATTTTACATACTTAAGATCAGACAAACCCAAATGAGGTATTCTGGTAAGCCAGGTAGGCAATGTGTGAAGCTGTAAACTTCAATCCTACAAATATGTGATATAGCACTTGTGTTGGCCCTGAAGAGGGTAACTTAAATAAGAATTGGCCCTCGAAAGGTATTGAGTTTGACACCACTGGTGTAAGACTTATTTTTGGTGGTTTTGGGCCAAAAATTAGATTTTGCTGAAAATCACAATATGGATACTCCTGAGCTTGCTGATTATGAATACTATGTGGTCCACGATTCGATTGCAGAGTAATTAGTGGCCAAAATGACCCTTGAAAGATTTTACTGACATTTTTCAATGCAAATTACTCATCAACTATGGGTTTCCAAGGTGTGATTTAGGGTTTGTATGTTATTCTGAAAGTATTTAATTAGTTAAACCCCTTAAATTTCAATTCTGAGAAAAGATCCGTTTTTTTCTAAAAACCAGTTTTTGTGATATAGCTCGGAATGCGACATCAGCATATGTTACCTAGGTATGTTAATTCCTAGCCAATTTGCCAGGCCAACATACAGGCAGTTAAAACATCTAATAATTACTTAATAAGTAATATTAGAAGGACACGTCGCTACCTGGCATTTAATTACAATTCTCCAAACCCCCTCCTTCACCCCCCACTATATGCATCACGACCCTCATCTCTTGCCTCAGAGCGAGCAGTAAATAAAAGTCAACTCTCGAGGGGTGGAGATGGGTGGGTTATGGACGTCGCATTCCGAGCTATATCACAAAGACTGGTTTTTATGAAAAAACGTCTTTTTGTTCAAGCTCTGGAATGCGACGTCAGCAAGAATACCCGAGCAGGAGGTGGAGAGGGAGGTGACTTTGCATACAAGGCTCCTCTGACTGAGGTCCAGATTATATTATAAACTGTTTGGAATATTTCCAAAATTAGGAACATTTACTGGTGGGCAAATTGTTAATTTACTCAAAAAGGATACTCACTTTATTCTGATGAGGAAGAAGGTCCTGGTAGTGGAGATTGACTAGGTTGGGGAGGGGAACCCAGCACCACCACATTTGAAGCATCTCTCAGAGATAGATGGAGATTGCTGTCTTTGAAAGTTTTTGAAGATCTCCAAAAGCCCATTTCCTTGATCTGACTGAGACTCATGTGCCACAGAAAGGCCACAGACCCTGCATCTTTCCTAGTGTCATGTTCCAAAAATTTCTTGCCAAGGTCTGCTTGATTCACTAATTGAGATAAGGATTTTGTCAATTGACTAGGAGATAATTTCTTACCATCTCTTGATGAGAAAACATAAGGCCCTTGATTAGGGAATCTGGTTAACCATTCCTGAAGATTTTTAACTGGGCACAATATGTGAGGAACCCTTGTTTCATCCATTAGACGTTTTATCCTAATAGGTTGAGCTTGGAAATCTTACCTTTCATTTTTTCTTAGGATTTCCATAGGAAAAAGGATAACATCCTCATCAGAAAATACCAATAATGATGGATTATTGGAAATTGAAATCAGTTCACTGATTCTCATATCCGTTGCTATTGCTAGAAGGAAAGCTGCCTTCTGGAATAATTTATCCCTGTTCAGATTTATATTGTAATTAGGCCCCATAAGAAGATTAGTAACTTTTTCCAGAGACCAAGGCGGGATTCTCTTGGGTCGAGGAGGTCTCTGAATGAAAAAGGACGATCTTAGCATTTGATAAATCCTTGGGTTCAAAGTAATATTAAAACCCCAAGCCAGAGGGTCAACCAACGCTGATTTATAAGATGCAATTGTCGATCCTTGCAGGCCTTTAACTCTGAACAGAAATTCTAAAAATTCTAACACTTACATTTTTGGTGGTTTTGGGCCAAAAATTAGATTTTGCTGAAAATCACAGTATGGGCACTCCTGAGGTTGCTCATTATGAATATGTGGTCCACGATTCGATTGCAGAGTAATTAGTGGCCAAAATGACTTGAAAGATTTTACTGACATTTTTCAATGCTAATTACTCAACTATGGGTTTCCAAGGTGTGCTTTATGGTTTGTGCTATTCTTAAAGTATTTAATTAGTTAAA